GCTAATAACTACAATAAAATTTGTAAAAAATATTTAAGTAATTTTCTTCAAAACATGTGCAATATTTAATTAATTATAAAATGAGAAATGATCATAAACTTAAAATTTGATTTTAAAAATATGGAATAACTACGCGGGATAAATGAATTGAATTTTCTTCTTTTTTTTAAGTTTCATTTCAAACAAAAATTAACTCTAAGGTAAGCCAAAAGTAAAAGACCCAAAATGAAACTCAATTTAGGGAAAGCATGTATAACGTAAAACAATATATATATATATATATATATATATATATATATATATATATTTAAGTCCAAAAGGCAAAACAGCAGAACTCAAGTTATATCAAATTTTTTATCTTTTTTACATATGAGTCCTGCGTGAACAAATTTACAAGAAAAGTTATCTTAGCGCTTAAAAATTGCGATAAAAAGAGGCTAGAGACATCTCACTTCCATCAGTCTCTTAGTGCTTATCTATTAAACATTTCTTAATTACTTTTACAAAATTATGCAGGTTAAATACTATGTAATTTTAACAAAATATATGTTATTAATCAAAAAATTTTCGTTAAAAATTTTTAATCTAAAAAAATTTACGATTTAAGAATTCTTTGACTTCTTATCTAAATGCCATGGTCATTGTAGCTGACATTATGTTCCCTGGCACCGTGAGAGAGACTAAGAGACTTCACTTATTTCATATAAGTCACACATATATAGTCCAACATACGTATCTAGAGTTACGCTGTTATGCCTTTCCAATCTCAGAAATGCCAATCGAACACCGAAGATGGATATCATGTATATTATAAACCAATAATATTCGTTCAGTGGTCTACGAAATATTTGATTTTAATTTGTTTTTTTTTTTTTTTCAAATTAATCTAAAGTTTTAAGTGCATCAACATAAATTTTAGATCTGCTTAAGTAGCTGGGATTTATTTAGGAAAGACGACAACAAGTTCTTGAAAACATATTGAGCAAGATTCTAAAGGCAATTAAGTCGTCCGCACATCTGCGCTTTTAGGTAATGCTTCCTCGAGCATTACGGTTCAAAACATTATTAACTTTGATCTGTTGAGTTTAGAAAATTCTGTAAGAGTATCTTCTACAATATAACAAAAATCGTGAGCATTTGTTTTCTTGAGATTTTATAGAAAAATAAATAGTGCAAAAAGCCCCGAGAAGCGATTTGTGTTAGTAAATTAATGCTTCCGATTAAAACTATACGCATAAAATGCATAGTTTTCACACCGGGAATGTTAAATTATCAAGAGCTCTATTCAACCTATTTATATATATATTAACATAAGGACATTGAATCGCATCATCTTCGGCTTCTTACCAAAGCAAGGTACTCTTTACCTTAAAAATCCCGCAGTCACCATCTTCGTCGTAAGATTTGGTTTCTAATTTTTACTCGCCAATTAATTGGAGGACGGAGTTTTAAAATTAAATGATTGGTTTGATCTAATCTCCACTTTTTGAGCAATCATCTCAGAAAGAGTTATTATCTATTTATTCTTTCAAATCGAAGCTTTAATTTGTCGGATAATATCTTTTACTGCTTGAATAATGCGCATTTATATACACATTATGAAATAAAGGAAATCCCAATCTGTTCCGAACAGGTATGCGTAGTGTATTTAAAAAATTTTAATTATCCTAAGATTCCTTTAAAAACCCCAAAGTTATGATTAATATATTAATATATGAAAAAATGTTATTGTTTTAAGCGAAATAAAAGAAGAAAAGTTTATTGTCTATTGTCATTGAAATTAGTAGGTAGTCCATCTGACAGGGCTTGTTTTAATCATCTTTGCTCTTTTTTATCCCTGTACCATTTCGAAATGCATTTTCATTAGAAACTCAAGAATTCATTCTATAAAAAGTGAAAGAGTCGCTGCAATTGAGATAAATAATTAGTTTTACATGACAACAAATCCACCATAGATTATATATAATCGTTCTACAAAATTAACTATACGACAGATAGGGTTGCATTTTGAAAGAAATGGTCTGAATGCAGAACATACTCCACGCCTACATATTTACTCAGACTTTAGTTCACATATAATTTTGAACAATGATTCTCACTCTTTTATATGGCAAATTCGCCAATGTCCGTATAAAACCCAAATACTTTTCACTGAATATCACCTTCAGTAATGAGGCTCACGTTTAGGTTATCCGAAAAGAAAAGTAAATGCACGTACTCAATTGAAAATTTTAAAATTAATTTTCAAATCGAACTTGAGTCTTTAAGTCTATTTTCATTGAGAAATTCGAAAGTTGCTAATTTCGAAAGAAACCTTATAAGCGCAGCCGATTTGAATACTAAACAGAACCCATCGAAAATAAAATTTGCTTTTCTTAATTTTTACCTTATAAAAAGGGTTCAATATTAGCTCTATATACGTATTTATATATATGTATATACATGCGTCGATATATGACACCTTGGATCCTCAAATAAGTATTTTTCTCTTTGTTAACATTAAGAGATATCAATATGACTTTTCTTCCTATTTTAGATATTGATTGGTAACATTTTTATTTAAAAATGATTTCATGTTAATAAATGATCGCCTCTGGATTTCTGTGAAAGTTCACTACTGGAACAACAATTGTCATGTCCAAAAACGAGATTTTCAGGCCACAAACTTCGCCCGAAAGTTATTTAACTAAATGTAGATTTCATCCCATACGCGCAAAGCAGAAACGTAGGTTCATTATTTTCGTAATTAGTTTGAACAATTTCAATGCGCTATACAAATGTATAAATGTATTGTATTCTACGAATTATGGCAAGGTCCCCAACAATATAGTGTGAAAGAAATAACTCCAAATTTTAATCAGAAATGCGTTTTGTTTACTTAGGAAACCACAAAATGGATGATGACCCAATATTTGTATTAATTCAATAAAACCGCGCCAAAAGATCGCGCACGCTACATATCATATATCTTCTTATCAAGTGCCCTTTTATAATTATTTAAGATAGCAAAACACTTAAAAACAAATTCATCTCGAAATAGATTGCAACCTTAATTCCTATCCTATCCTTAATTTCTATCATCTGCATGTAAGTGATATCAAATATTTAAATATCAAAGCTATAAACGGCCCGCATCGAAGAATGCAAGTACGCTAGTTTTGTTATTCCGATCGTAATATATCGACATATTCATTACAAACTATATAAATTTAAGTATTTTTAATTAGGATTCCGGAGGGAATTAATCATCTATCCGCGCATCCATCCGTTCGTCCATGCATTGCCGGTTAGTGTTATTTTATTATGTACGTAAAATGAAATATCCAAGATATGTGGATTGCCATAAATGTTCTTAACTGATAATCATAGATCAAGGTCGAAGAAGAGCCCAATCTGACCAGAAATATGCTTAAAACTAACAAAAGAGCTATTAGATAAATAAGTACTGTCATCAATATTTTACAAGCTACTTACTACGATTAATTAACTGGGTCATAAGTAACTACGTAGGTAATTACACTTACGACGTTTATTAAGATATTAGGAAGTTACGATTGCACCTCGGAAATAACTGCGATTTGTTTATTATATATTATAACATATTTATTACCATATATGTTTGTAAAACATCAGAGGCTGCATTAAATATGCGCATTTTTGACCAACGCAATTAGAAGAGTTTAGATTTATTGACTATTAATTGCCTAGCTGGTGTCACGGCTGAAATATAAAATTTTTGCATGAATGTATTAGATACTTACTCTCACTCAACGATCACCTATAAATTTGATCAATTTCTTTTCCTTTTTTACTCATAACTTTACGATTTCATTGAAGATGTTTAATCTCATTCCTCTTTATTAAAATACTTATATCCAATTCGTACGTCTTTGTCAAAAATCACATAAACACACATCTCAAAAATTCACTCACAACTACCAAAGAACCTTTTATGCAGACAGAGCATGGAAATATGGTTTTTAATTTTTGCAATTAGTTACGAAATGGTATCTATATGATATTAAAGATATGCCGATGAAATAATGAATCTTCGTTCTATTTAGTGATATATATATATATATATATATATATATATATATATACGTCTTGTTTGGCATTTGTCTTCTTTCGTGTTTCCTTTTGACTGATGGTATTGCAAAGTTACAAAAACAGCGTAAACGGATCTAGCCGATATATAAAGGTATATATGATAGATAAGCAGTCAAACAAGTAAACAGCTGAAAATCAAGCCAAACAATGTATTTCTGTACACTGTTCATTCATATATTTTTATATATGTTATATATTATATAAAAATCTAATAAACGATACGTTCTAAACACAAGAAACACATATATCAACTTTAGCACTTTGCACTTTAATGTCGCCTCTATATGTCGATATTATATTTCTTATACCAACTATTATGTCGATCTAGAATCCACATTATATTATTTGGGCTTATTTACTAAAGAATTAGGAGCTTTCCCTTAAGATTTTAGTGATCATATAAAAAAAGAAAGAAGTTAGGTGTATACAAAGTTAATTTCAGCAACTCACTTTAATTGAAAATGCTTAAATAATTAAAGAGCTTTTCACTAAAGCGTATTACATGATTATTTAGCGCCAAGTGCTACGAACGTTGGAGTTTAGTTTTCCTTCAAAGTTCTTTATCAAATTTTCAATGCCCTAAGGGGGTTAATTTTTGCGCACCTGCTGTAATGGTTAAATCTGAAAAGCATACGGCGATGCCGCGCGACCGGAAAATGATTATACAAACGTACACAGTAATACCGAAAACCTCTTTGATTTCATTAGATAAAATCGTCTCAATACAATTTATATAAGAATCACAGCGTTCTTTTTAGTTGTGACCATTAATAGCATATTGATGAATTGAGGAAATACTTTTATCGATAAATTCAACTTATGTGTGAAAGTGTTTTAAAATTGTTACAAAATAAGAACATAGTCGAATCAAAAACCTTTTGTAAGTTCAGATTTCTCTTCGTTGTGAATTCAACTAAGGCTGTTGCACTGTTTTCAAATTTTCTGAAATTTTTTTTGAAAGCCGCTTAGCAAATCTCTGTATCCTATAATGTCTTGTTATTTTTAATTAGTATACTATCATTGTGTCAAGTGCCAAAATAGTTGCTTTATCAAAATTTCAAATTTATTTTCAAGCATTTCGATTGCATTACCCTACTACTCTGCTGATCTTGATCTTGATTTCAAATATTTGATATTAACATCTAAGAGTCAACTAAGAGTAAGAAAAGAAAATAAAAAACTTACATTTGATTTCCGTTTGGCAAACACACAGTATGCCTCCCAATAATAATGGATAAAGTTGCATATATATGAAAAACAAAATTCAAAAATATAAACAAGATGTTAAAATATTTTTGACATCTTAACGCAATGTTTCTTTTTTTGTTTTGTTTTTTATAATTTTTATTTATTTATTTTTAATTACACACGCAATAAAAACCAAATGAATACACACAAAACTGTATACATATATATGAGCACATAGTAAATGAATATGAATGACGCACAGATGGACAATATGGGTAAGCGAACAAAGATACATACTAACATATGTATATATACGCATATATATATATATATATATATATATATATATATATATATAAATATAAATATATATATATAAAGGTATGTATATATATTTACAGGCATGTACTAGAAAGCCTTGAGTGTAAATAATATTGTCATTGACTGATACGACGAATGAACCGTAGCGGCAACGAGAATAACAGCACAACAGCAAAATCAAGCATAAAGCTCTTTTTTTCTTTGTTTAGTTATTTATTATTATTATTATTATTATTATTATTATTATTATTATTATTATTCTTTTTTTTATTTTATTGTGCGTTAAATGCATTTAGATCCTATTATTTGTTATTTGCTTACATTTACAATTGCAAAAGTGCACACACATACACTCACTCACGCAACCAGTAGGGCAAATATCATCTTTAGTTATACGCCAACAACAACGATAGTAAATTTTGAATTGTTATATTTTTATTTTATTTTTTTTTTTTTCCTTTTTGTGTTATATATATTACACAAAAATTGTGTTGGTTGTTAAATGCATCGTCTTTTTTTATTTTTGTTAAATAAATATAAATTTTTAAGAAGATATGAATGCGTTTACATGTGTGGACACAAATTTTTTGTGTTGTGCCTATATGTGCATAACCACATGTATTTGTGAGCGAGTGTATATGAACGTTTTGAGGTTTCACGGAGAGATAAAAAACACAATGAACGCAATGAAATAAGAAAAGAGAGTGGACGAGGGAGACGTTAAACAAGAGGGTAAAAATAAGATTGAGAGAAAGAGAGAGGAATATACAAAGTCAATGATCGTGGCCTATGAAATTTTTTTAAAAAAATTTAAACTAAAAAACTGAAACACAAAAAGAATACTCAAGTTATGTGTGTATGTGCTGCTGTGCGTGTATTTGATTGCAAAAAAAAAAAAAAAAAAAAAAAAAAATAAATAAATAAATCAATAAAACAATATAAAATATAAATAAATAATAAAAAATAAGGTTAATTTTATTTAACGCAAACGAAATAAAATAGTACATATTCGCCCGCTTATGATGCGAGGAGAGTCCTACCGTATTACAAAAACCTTCTGAAATTCAGTAAACTTATGAAAAGCAATTTCTCAAAAAATGTTATAAAAACATTTTGAAAGACCTATAAAAGAAATTACAATTTTTGATCCATTCATTCGCAGATGAAACCGGAGCTTGCGGCAATTAAAAATCTTAAATATAAAATATTTCATATACGCCCCTGAATTTGTGTAAAGATACTTTTTTAGTTATTACATTATTTTACATCCAGATCATACCATCAATACTCCTTGGTTTTGCACGGGTACGTTGCGCTACGTTACGCTATGTTTTATCAGTATAATGCTATACGTTACGTTACGTTTAAAACTTGATAAAAAATTATTTAATTCGTACTAACCACTAAACAAGTTTAAACATAGGCATGATCTGTTTGCTAAAAAAGTTAAAAAATTTATATAAACTTTTGAAAAAGAACATTTAAAAATATTATTTATGCAAATGACTGTGTAATGATAGTCTTTTAATTATCTGAAAATGTGAATGATCTCAATCGCCCATTTGTCAGACCGATAATTTACAAGACAACTTGATAACTATTATGGATCAGATTCATCTTCAGTCGATCGATCACAAATTTCTTACCTTTCTCATTCTTTACACTAAACTTCTCTAGTCTAGGATATATTAATAAAACCTTAGTACGAACTTATTCACATATTAATTTAACTTCGTCAAATTGAGAGATTCAACACTTTTTACTTGTTAAACTATCAACTAATTATTAAAAAAAGAACCCTATTATTTAGACTTTTATTCTCGTTTGTAAGCAAAATTTACAAAAATAATTCTATCTTATGATTATTAGAAGAAGTCGCATCCTTTTCATTCTTGTTTATAGGCAGATTTACTTTAAAATTTTCCGTTAGAGAATTTTCTCAGGGGTCCAATGAATATAGAGTTAAATTGATCTTAATAAAAAAGATTTATTATGGATAGCTGTTACTGTTTTAATCTTTCATTTATCGCATAGCCAAAATTTCAGAAATTCATTGTTTGAAATACGTAACTATTTTATATCTTTCGTTTTTTACTTCTTCCTATATCCTCAATACCTTTCTTATTCACGAACGTAAGACACAGTCTAACATATGCATTATGGATCTCGTCCTCTTGGAGTGAACATTTTTTCCGTAGAAATTCGAAAAAGCTAGAACTAATTAATGATTATTGTGACCATAGATCTTACAAAGCAACTTTTTTTTTTTTTGTTTAAGAATCGAAGAAGAATTAGATAAGATAGATAAAATCGATAAATCGCATAAACTTCTAATGTATCACACTTAGAATACCTGGTAATGTACATTACAAGAACTTGATTGAAGCATGCGTTTTACCAAAAATTCTATGGAGATAATTTACATTTTCAACAGATAACTAAAAAGATTCAAAAAACAAACGCAATTCGGTACAGAGCACAATGTCAAATGTTAATGTTCAGCAGTCCGCTTCGATTATAAGCCCCACATTCTGTGCATATATATGCACTGCTATATATACATTTACTCGATATGCTCGTATATGCAAACCTTTGGTTTGTTTTTTCGTGATATTTTATAGAAAAAGATCATACAATGACCCCTCAGTTCGTAAACAAATGCAGGCAAACCGTCTATTATCCGGTTATATATTTTAATTGAGAGAAAGTTTTTGTTTTTGTGACTGAAATTAATTGTGTGTTTGTTCGTGTGTGCATATATGTATGTATGGGTGTTTGTTTATGTGCCTTTTTTTTTTTTTTTTTCTTATTATTTAATTTTTTTTGTTAATAATATTATTCTCTCCCTTATGTTTATATAAAATGTATAAATTAATGACAGACGAGCACAAATTAAAAAAGAAAAAACTCTCTTTGCTTAGCTCCGTTAAATGCTTAGAAATTGTACTTGTAGTTGGTGATCACCACCACCACCATTCTTTGGTGGTGGTAAACTGTGGAGATATGCTTAGCAGCGACTAGTATAATTTTTTCCCTTTCCTTTTTTTTTTTTTGTCTTTTGCTTCAATTTTTCAAGTATTGACGTTGAGAGTTTGAGTTTATTATTTAAACACATACTACTGTCAAAAATGAAAATAAAAACTACATTCAGTCCCACTTTCTGAACAGAGGAAAACCAATACATAAACAAAAGTTGCCAAACTAAAACAAAAAAAAACAAAAAGCGTACCTTTTTTTCGGCAATGCGTGTATGTGTTAGTAAGCGAACTTGACAATATATTGAACGCATACTAACGTCAACGTTTTTAGGCTGCATGCTGCATAAAATGTGCTGCGCTACAATATTCTGTTATGGGACATGCAAACGAAGTGGAAGAAAGACAAAAAGAAATAAGCAAAAAAAAAAAGAAACCAATGTTTGCTGCAGTAAACGCTGACTGGTTACGTTTCGTATATTTTGTACAAGTAGTACGCGGTACTAATAACGCTCTGATGTAGACGACTGCAACGAACGGCAAACCCAAAAAATGGCAAAAATTAAATAACTCACACACCAAAAAATTAAAAAAAAAGCATACAAAAAAACGAACAAGAGAAATACAACAACAAAAAACCGTACGGGGAATTCTCTGATTCAGTTGGACACACTGCATTTTTTTCAATTCAGTTGAGCTTATTAATTCGATCAGTAAAGGTTCAGCAACTGAAATTTGGATTAAACACTGCACATACACAAAATATAGAACAACAAATGACCGACTAATTTAGACGTAACGCGCAGATATTTTTTTCAAATACAAAATCAAATAAGAAAATATATAGAAAACGAATAATAATAATAAAAATAATAATAATAATAACAAAAACTTTGATTGAACAAAAATAAATTAAATAAATAAGAATATATAAATTAATAATAAAAAAACGATATGCAAAAATTCTAGCATTAAAAGATTTTTAAAAATATACGATTAAAATGAAATTTTATCAAGTTTGGCAAGACCAAAACTGTATAGAACTCGAATATGTTAAAATTGCTAAAACCATTTGAAAATCAAGTAAGTTGAAAAGAAACTTTCTTTCAAAAAAAAAAAAAAAAAAAAAAAAGAAGAAAAATAACAAAACTTTGGTTCATTTTATTTTTTTACATATATATCCCAAAAAAATTTAAAAAAAAAATATGCCGATCATTCGAATTACGAAAGATAATATTTTATCTTGAAACTCTTTCCCCGGTAAATTGTAGTCGATTCGATACACAGGGAGAGTTTGAGAGCATAAACGAAAAGCATTAAACGGAAGGACATTTGAGTTATATTTCTCTGTTCTTTCCTTTTTTTTTTTTTTACTTATTGTGTTTGGCCTTATGTGTTGTTGTTCTTGCCATTGAGTTA